TCCCCTGCCGAGGTCAGAGTACCCTGGCCATGGATCGGCACTCGCTTCTGGTCACCTCCACCCCCATGCAAAGTCCTCTTACTGAAGATCGGCCAAAATGAGGACGAACACCTGAAGAAGTGAACAGACTTAGGATTGAAGGAGTGCCCGTCACCTCATATGAACTAAAGCATGTTCCCTCCGCTGCCTCCTCCTGCCCCATCTCCTCCTTCGTCCTCACAGTCATAGTGACGCTCATCATCGTCTTCACCATCACTGTCATCAGTGTCTTCATCATCATACTCAGCATCACCACCATCAAGATCAGCACAACCGTCATCATCATCAGCAGCATCATCATCATCAACACCATTGCCACCAGAACCATCATCGCCATTGATGTCATCATACGCATGATCACCACATCAACATCACAATGACCATCACCATCACCATCATCATTATCATCCTCTTCTTTACCACTATCATCGTGTGAATCCTCATCATCCTGTTGTTCCTGTTCCTGCTCCTCCGCCTTGCGCCTCCTGCCCAACCTCTTTCACCTCTTCATCCTCCTCCTCCTCCTCCTTCTCCTCCTCCTCCTCCTCATGTTCCTTCTCTTCTTCCTGTTCTCCCCACCTATGCGTCTCCTTATCATCCTCCTTTCCCCGCGTTCTCCTCCAACGAATGGGGGAGAAGAGGAGCTAGATAAGACGAGCGCAATTCCGACGATGGTGACACAGATGAGGATGACGATGACAATGACGATGATGATGATGGTGACCAGGAGGAGGAGAAGGAGGACGAGGAAGAATCCTTAATAAAGAACCCTTTCATAAATAATCCGTAATAATGGATCTTGGGAGAAGAGAGAAAAAACGGATCATGAAGAAGGAATATTCAATATATATAAATATATATATATATATATATAATAATAATATAATATATATTTTAAAAAAAAAAAAAAAAAAAAAAAAAAAAAGAAAAAAAAAAAAAAAAAAAAAAAAAAAAAAAAAAAAAAAAAACCTAAACGACCATTAACAAAATAATATGTCCCAACGAATCCTTACTAAAGAATATGTACGAAGGAATCCTTAAAACGGAATACGTACCGAAGAATCGTTAATCAAGATCCTAAATTGAAACGCCCGTGAAAGGAATCTGGATTAAGGAATAAATTTGAAAATAATCTCAAACTAAAAAAAGCCCTTAGAAAAGGAATCTTCAATAAGGAATCCGTACTCAGGAACCCGATGTAAGGAATATGTCAGAAGTTGTCCTCGAAGTACACCTCATAAAGAATCAGAATGACGAAGATGTGACTCAAGAATGTTTACCAAGGAGTCCTTACTAAGGAATATGTACTACAAATATCGTATTACGGAATCCTGCATAAAGAACGCTTCTAAAAAAAAACCTTACTACAAAATATGGAATACGGAATCTGGAACGAAGGATGCGGAGTATTGAACTTCTACAAAAGGAACCCTTTTTCATGAGGACTCTTAGCTGAGAAACCCTTAAAAAGGAATCGTTGCCAAGGAATTCTTACTAGGGGATCTGTACGAAGAAACCCTGAATGAGGATCTTTACCAGCATCTTGCTTCAGGAATCCGTACTCAGAAATCCTATGTAACACATCTGTCATGAAGAATTGCCGAGCTATCCTGCATAAGGAATGCGAGTTACAGAATGCTTACTGAAGAATATGTACAAAGGAAGCCTTACTAAGGAATACGTACTACGGTAATATGACTCAAGAATCCTTAATAAGGAACCCTTTTCCATAAAGAATCCTTACTAAGGAATCCCGGAAAAAAAAAGAATCCTTACTAAGGAACCCTCGATAAGGGATCTGTACTAGCGAACCCGTACTAAGGAATCCTGAAAAGGGAACCTTTACTGAGGAACCCTTGAAATAAGGACGATGTACTAAGGAACCCGTACTTCCGTATTAAAGGGTGTTTAACAAGGACCCTTTAAAAAAGGAGTCTGGCTTACGAAACCCTTGTTAACAAAGAACCGTTTAAATTCTTACTTTTCCATACGGAATAAAAACAAAGGGGCCCTGAATCAAGAACCCTGAGTAAGGAGTGCCGTGTTCGGAATACTCAATAAGGACCCTTTGCATAAAGAATACTGGGCAAAGTATCCTTAGCCAGAACCCCTTAATAAGGAATCTGTCCTCCAGATTCCTACATGCGGAACCCTTGAAAACGAATCTCAATTGAGGAACCTGAAGAGGATTAGCTATTAAGGAATATCATATTCGGCATCCTGAGCAAAGAATCTCTACGTACAGATTATTGGTAAGGACCCCGATGTAAGGAATCTGTAATCGGGAGCCGCTAGGGAATCCTGCATAAGGAACCTTAACTAAGGAACCCTTAATAAGCAATCGTACGGAAGAGCCCTTACTAAAGAATCTGATTCTGGACCCTTACACAAGAGCCTTTACTCGTGAATCTGTCATACGGAATCTGAACGCAGGAATCCTTAATGACAGAACGTCCTCATCCTCGGTTCAGGAAAACCTTGCGCATGCTTGTTTGTTTTGGTTGGTTTGGTACGGGGTGCAAGGAAACACTGTGTGTGTTTGGTTTTGGTGTTCTTTTGTCTAGCAGGTTCAAGGGAGGTGCTGCGAGGGAGGCCGCGGCGAGCACTGGGGCCTGCCCCAAAAAAGTGCTGCATGGTTTCACGAACACCCCCCCAAAAAACAAACAACAAAAAAAAAAAAAACGTGTTTCCTTGCACCAAGGGGGCGCCAGCTACTGTGTATGCGTGGTGTGTGTGTGGTTGTCTCGGCCTGGGATGCAACGAAACACTGCGTTTGGTTGTTTATGTTGTTTGTGTTCGGCGGGCTCAGAAAGAAGTACTGCGAGAAAGGCCGCGGCGAGCACCTGGGCCTGCAAAACCCAAAAACATGTGTCGCCGTTTCACAAGCCAAAACACCAACAACAGCAGCACCAGCAGCAGCAGCAGCAGCAGCAGCAGCAACAACAACAACAACAACAACAACAACAACAACAACAACAACAACAACAACAACAACAACAATCATTTTACCCGAACGCTCAGTGTTCTCACCAGTGCCAGGGTTTTCATGCGACGCGAGACAATACCCCCACTTCGTGGGGGGGCAGTTCAAGCTCTACCAAATATCCAAACGACTCTTCGCGACCACCCAAACCCAGCTTCCCGCCCTATGACGTTGGGACACTTCACTTCGTGGCGTGCGGACGACCGTGGCTACTACACTGGCGTGGGGTACACACCCACAGAACTTGGTCACTTATTCGGGGCGCGCGTGTGCCCAGCATCCTGCAATTGTGACATACAATACATGACACAGACAGACAGAGAGAGAGACAGAGAGCAGACAGAGAGAGAGACAGAGAGAGCGGAGTTGGTCACATTTTTGGGGCAAGTTCCTGAGATCGTCGTGTTTTTTGTTGGTCTTGCGCGCGCGAATGTCCACTTTACTTTTTTTTGCAAGGGAGTATTGAAATTTGATTATGTTAGAACAAGAAAAAGTAGCTCGCGCGAGCTCATGTAACATAAATGTTGAAAAACCATTGGTTTTGTGGGAGTCGGACAGCGCGCGCGGGATGAAATTTGGACATTTTTTTTGAAAAACCATTGGGTTTTTGATGTTTTTATGTTGAAATCGTTACGAAACCTAAGGTTCTGGAAGGATTTCGTCTTGCGCGCGCGAATGTCCACTTTACCTTATTTTTTGCAAGGGATTATTGAAATTTGATTATGTTAGAACAAGAAAAAGTAGCTCGCGCGAGCTCATGTAACATAAATGTTGAAAAACCATTGGTTTTGTGGGATTCGGACAGCGCGCGCGGAAGGACATTTTGACAATTTTTTCTTAAAAAACCATTGGGTTTTTGATGTTTTTATGTTAAAATCGCTACGAAACCTAAGGTTTTGGAAGGATTTCGTCTTCCGCGCACGAATGTCCACTTTACCTTATTTTTTGCAAGGGATTCTTGCAATTTGATCAAGTAAGAACAAGAATTTTCATTTTATAGTGTTTTTTGCAAGGGAAAACGGACTACAACAAAACAACCGGATCCGGACACAATCGTTTTGCCTGAGACTTCCTCACGAAAATGATGAAAATGTAGCTGCGGCCTAGGCGGGCGGGGGGCGCCGGGGGTCGAGCACCAGGGGCCCCACAATATTATTCTTTAGAGAAATAATGTTCAACAACAACAACAACAACAATTACTAGCACGTGGGGACACTCCGTTCTCACCAGTGCCAGGGTTTTCATAGGAGGCGGGCAATACCCCCACTTTGTGGGGGGGCCGGTTCAAGCTCTACCAAATTTCCAAACGACTCTTCGCCACCACCCACACCCAGCTTCCCGCCCTATGACGTTCGGACACTTCACTTCGTGGCATGCGGACGACCGTGGCTACTATTCAGGGCCCCGCGGCCGACGACGACGGCGTGCGCGCGC